AAATTTCATCTACCTTTCACCCACTGACAAGTTCCAAAGTCACACCCACATTAAAATTTATTTATGACATCACATGACCTATGGTACTAATATCTGTATTAGTTACCTATTGCATAACAATTATCCAAAGCCTATAAGCTTAAAACAATCATTTATTATCTCATATAGTTTCTGAGTCAGAAATCCAGGAGTTAGGTAGGTGGTTCTGGTTCAGATGTCAGCTTTAGGCAGGGCTGCAGCCATGTGAAGGTTTGAACAGGACTAGAAGAACTGTTTCCAAGAAGTCACATAGCTACTGGTTAGAGCTTTCAGTTCCATGCTACATGGGTCACTCCACAGGGATGCTTGCAATATGGGTAACTTCCCTGAGATTAAGGGATCAGAAAGAGAGAATGTGATAAAAATAGAAACTGCAATGTCTTTTATAACCTAATCTAAAAACAATATCCTGCTGTTTTCTATTGGTCACACAGATGAATCCTGGTACAATGTAGAAGACAACAGGGGATGAATATCAGGACACAGTGAGGGATATCTCTCTCTCTTTCTCTCTCCCTCTCAGCAAAGTAGCATGAATTTCTTTCTCCTTCTACAATTTCACAGGGAGAAGATTCGTTCTTACCTTAAATCTTAGCAACCTCAGCAATACGATTTTTTTCTTTCCTTATTAAGTTGAGAACTTCTACATTTTCACTTAAAGGAAGTACTTTATGTCTTCTCTTTGGCATATTCGAATTGCCAACATCACTACTCTTGCACTTTGGGGACATTATTAAGCAAACTAAGGATTACTTGCATACAAGCACTAGAATACCAGGACAGTCCACCTGATAACCAAGACAGCTATAAAGTGACTAACAGGCAGGTAGCTTATACAACTTGGAGACAAAAGGATGATTCACATGCCAGGAGGGACTGAGTAGGGCAGTGAGAGATTTTATCATGCTACTCAGAATGGCATGCAATTTAAAACTGATGAGTTGCCTATTTCTGGAATTTTCCATTTAATATTTTCAGACCTTGGTTGACCTTGGGTGACTGAAATCTCAGGAAGTGAAACCTTGGAGAAGGGGGGACTACTGTACAATGTTACCTAAAAGAAACCAAATAGCTCCTAGGCCCATATAACTTGGCTATAATTGAAAGTGTTAACATATCCATTTTAAAAGAATAGGTCATTCAGAAGAGGCACTGGTCAGCTACGGAGCATATGGTGGGGTGAAAATGTTAAATTTAGCAAGGCCGGTTCAAGTATACTCTAGGAGTTGTCTGATCCCAGGATCTAGTATACTCCTGCTACAGAGAAAAGGCTAGTACAATCATGTGAACCACAATGATGTTTCAGTTGATGGACCACATATATGACCGTGGTCTTATGAGATTATAATGGAGCTGAAAAACTCCTATAACCTAGTGATGCCTTAGCCATCCCTAACATTGTAACACATGTTACCCATATAATTACCGTTGCATTACAAGTGCCTATAGCAGTGATTTTCAACCCATGTGCTATGGCACACTGGTATGCCAAGAGAATATTTAAAACATGCAATACCTGACTATTTAATTTAGGCAGGGCCACTGACTTATTTTCCCTTAGACTGTCAAATAAAAAAATGACAGCAGTCAACACAACAATAGCCATCCAGTGTGAATGAATCAAAATTAAGCCTTTTTTTTCGATCAGCAAAAAATATATTTTTTGGTGTGTCATAGAATTTTAGTGATTAGTTTATATGTGCCATGAGATGAAAAAGGTTGAAAATTGCTGGCCTATAGTAATCAGTACAGTAACATGCTTTATAGGTTTTGTAGTTTAAGAGGAGCTACAGGCAAACAGCATTTGACACCCCAAAATATGTCTCTATGTCATAAGGATTATTTTAGGCTGGTTAATCTTAAGAAATAGCAGACATGGGAAGAGCTATGAAAACCAAACAGAAGTTACCCTTTGTAAAAGACATTTACATCTGTAAGGGAAATCTCATTTGTTAAGGGTTTCTACCCTGCTGTATGTATCAGGAAGAGCAGGATGACCTTATCTCTAGAAATTCTTACCAATGCAGAAGACAATAATTTAAATCAGCATAACAACCTTACTTAACCTTGTTTATTGTGCTTTTCCTGGTAACCTCCTATAACTAACTACCTCCCTACTCCCAACATTTTCTTTTGCCTTCAGCTAAAGATGGTATTTAAGGTGGTGGATTCAGTCATTTTGGCCAGTGACTCAATTTCCTTGAGTCTCTCCCATGTGTACAGAAAGTATACATGACATTAAACTTCTGTTTTTCTCTTGTTAATCTTTCTTTTATTACAGGAATGTCTCAGCCAAGAACCCAGAAGGGTAGAAGGAAAATCATTTTTCCTCCTTTATAGAACAATAGTCTATACCATATAGCCTAGGTATGGAGTAGGCTATATCATCTAGGTTTGTGTAAGTACAAGCATGATGTTTACACAACAAAATCGCTTAATGATGAGTTTCTCAGAACATATCTGAATAGTTAAGCTATGCATGACTGCATAGAGATGGTTGCCTAAAGCTATCTTTGCCTGATGTTATTAAATATTTGAATCTTAATAATTACTGTTTAATATTTAGAATGTCATATCTGTTTTTGTATGTTTTAGAAATCCTTGCTGCATCCACATTTGGTATGCATTCTATCACCATAAATTACATTTTTTAGAACGTTTAGTAAGTGGAATCAAATAGTATGTATTCTTTTTTAAAAAATATTTTTATTGATTTTTAGAGAGAGAGGAAAGGAGAGGGAGAGAGAAACATTGATGTGAGAGTGGAACATCAATCAGCTGCCTCCTGCATGCCTCCTACCAGGGATCAAACCTGAAATCTGGATATGTGCCATGACTGGGAATCGAACAGGCAAATTTTCAGTGAACAGGATGATGCGCAACCAACTGAGTCACACCGGCCAAGGTTCAAATAGTATGAATTCTTTTTTGTCTGGCTTCACTTATGTAGTATAACTGTTCATCCACTTTGATGAATCCACTGAGATACATCCACTATAAGTACTATACTGCTGAGTAGTATTCTATTGTATAGATATAGCACAATCAGGTTATTTATTTTCTTGTTGATAACCATTTTGGAAAAGTCTGGCAGTTTCTTAAAAAGTCAAACATCCATGTACCATATGATGTAGCTATTCCACTCCTAGGTATTTATCCAAGAGAAAAGAAAGCATTAGGCTCACATATAAACTTGTACATGAATATTTATAGTATTTTTATCTGTATTAGCTAAAAACTGGAAACAACCTGTTTCCATCCATATATGAATGAATAAATGAATGTGGTATATCCATAAAATGATATATTACTCAGCAATAAAAAGGAATAAACTACTGATACACAACATGGATGAATCGTAAAGTAACTGAGTAGAAGACGACAAAAAACGAGTGCTTATGTTTTCCCTTTTGTTTCTTTCCCCCTCATTTCATTATTTTCCTTCTCTGGTCTAAGAAAACAAACAAAACCACTCTTATTTGTCTTCTTTCAGTGGTTATATTTTAAACATGCCATTACCTTTAGTTCACATAGTACATGGACTTTAGAATAATGAAATTCCAATCAGCCCCTCCTAGCTTACAAACCATTACAGGCCAGTGCAGTATTGTAATTCTACCTTGTTTGTTGACCACAAATTAGGCACTATTATTATTATTACTGTTTCTTTCCACCAATGTTGACTTAGGTTTATTATTTATTCATTTTTTTTTACTCCTTAATTCTTCTTTAATTTGATACCTTCCTTTTAGTACCATTTTCCTTTTTGAAGTATACTATTTAGAATAGTTTTTTAAATGTGGGTTGTGACCTACTGGTCTGTCTACAGCTTGAAAACAGTAAGATTAGTATCTCTTGTTATTTACCCTGCTTAATATGCATTGAGCTCCTAAAATCTGAGGATTTGTGTCTTTCATCAATTCTGGCAAATTTTTAATAGCAACTATGGCCTTCTATGTAGTTTCTTTCTCTTTTTAACTGTGCTTTACATGCTGGTTTAACATGCCATTTAATTTTTAAGTTCTATAATTATATTTTCATTTCTGATATTCTAATAGGTTCTTATTTGAATGTGCCTGGTCACATTTATGGTCTATTACTTTTTATTTATGTTTGAGAATCCCTCTATTAACTTATTAAACATATTACATGCTTATTTTATGTATTAGATCATTGTAACACCTGAAATCTCTGTAGATCTGTTTTAGTTGTTTGTGGTTTTTGCTGACTTGCTCATAATGTTTTGATTCTTTTCTCTTATGTTTTGTGATTTTTTTATATGTGTATGAGCTTATTTGTTAGAATTTTAACTATGATTATTTGATAACGGGGCTGATAATTCCCTCCATGGATGATTTGTGATTGTTCCTGCCAGGTACCAAAGAGTATTAGAGACCCAAGTCCATTTTAAATTAAAACTCTCCACTTGTGGAGTTTCAGGGACTATAAAAATAGTGAACTGGTAACCAGGAATTATTACAGAGATTTTCACTCTATCTAGGGCTGGTACACTTTACCAAAATGGTCTCTGATAAGGCCCCCTACACAATGCAGAATCCAAGGAATTTTCACCAGTCCCCATTCCTCTCCATGCACAAGTTTCTATGCCAACAGAAATCCATGGATGCTCCCAAAGTATTCAGTGACTTCAGCACTTGCTTATCTCACAGAATGTGTTTTGTTTCTAGCCGCAGAAAGTTTCCCCTATTTTCTTATAGGTTCATCCAATTATTGTAAAGGCTTTTTAAAATACTGAATCTAGTATTTTACATATTTGGTGGATCTGTAGCCTATCATATTGTCAGAAATAGAAGTCTATTTAATACTTCTGCAATTGCTTTGTAAAATTTAAATCAGGGTATTATATTTATTCTTGATAAATTTTATTTTAGTGTGTTACTGTAGTCTACATGTCTGTCAAGAGCAATTACAATCTTGATTAAATTATTGTATTTGCTTACCTTAGAAGTTGTGTGTCATCTGCAAATTTGTTTCAACTCTCTCAGACTTCAACAAAGTCACTGACCAACACAGCATCTGAAAAAAAGAAAAAGCTTCAAAATTAATTTTGAAAATCCAGAAATTCATCATATTTTCTTGTCATCTGATATATAGAATTATAAATTTCTATCATAATCTTATACAGATAAATTAAATTAAAATAGGAAAATCCCTCTACCCCAGTGACTTCAAGTGGTAGATGTTTTAAAAAGTAATAGTAAATTGAATGTGAATATTTTATCATCAGGGGAAACCAGCAGAAGTGTGAAGGTGTGGCCTGGGTGAGGGAAACTCTAGCACCTCTGAAATCTCTATCAGTCCTTATCTTCCACAGGAGAAAACACGCTTATTTAAACTAGCACAGAAAGACTGTGCAAAGCTTAGAAGAATTTTGAAGTGTCACACAGAGCAGCTTTGAAGGGTGTTTTGCTTTTAACAGCGTCATGAAACCCCATACCCACTGGGTTTTGTTTTCTTTGCTGCTTTGTCATACTTTTAGTTCGTATCTTTTACTAATTCCAGTCATCAATAAAACTTTTGTAAAATTTTTACCTCCAAAATCAACATAAGGACTTGTGTGTCAATGTGTTTGTTTACATTTTCCCATCAGAAATAAGAGAAAACTTACACTGCTCTCCTTTAGTACACTGCTCTTGCATGAAGAATGACAAACCACTACGTTTGGGTCTGCATCTTTTATTTTCTGAGCAACAACTACAGGTTTAAATAGAACATTTAGCCCTTGATGTTTTTTCTTCTCAATATATTATATCTTCACATTACATGCCTGCAATAATGTAGTAGGAAAAGCACAGGCTTTGGAATCACATAGATCATGTTTAAATCTCAATCTCTCTGAACCTCATAGGAAAATAATATCACAAATTGGTTTAATTGCTCTTAGAGAGAGGGGAAGGCAGAGAGATGAAGGGAAAGAGAGAGAAACATCGATTTGTTTTTCCACTTATTTATGCATTCATTGGTCGATTCTTATATGTGTCCCAACTGGGGATCAAACTTGCAATCTTGGCATAATAGCATATTGGGATGACACTCTAATCAAGTGACCTACCTGGCCAGGGCCAATATCATGAGTCTAAATGTGTAGCAGCAAGAACCTAATGATACACACATACACACACACACTATTCTATTATGTTAGCTGTCCTACTAGGTAATTTTGTACTGCATTTCCACTTTATTCAATCTGTCAAAGTACTTTTCAGGCTAAATTTAAGTTATAAGAAAGTTGATATACAAGTTAATATATTAAAAAGTTGATAAACTTCTAATGTTTTGTTCAACAATTACTAACACTTTGCAACACTTATTTTACCCAAAATATACATACAACAACACTACTGAATATACTCCACTATAAAGGCACAGTCCAAAATCTATGTTCTAAAATTACTAGAAATTTTTCCTTTTCTTGTGTGCTATGTCACCAAAATGCTGTAGTTATGTAAATGTGTTTCAGTTCCTTTTTGGATTTTATCTTTTTACATAATTTTATTTTTGAATATGTAAATACACATGATTCCAAGATCAAAACTATATAAACAAGTTATGTTTAGAGAAATCACTCTTCCCTGGCTGACACTTTTCCTGTTTGCACTTATCTACATGTAGATTACTCTATATGCTGTTCTGTGCCCTTTTTTTCACTTCATAATATATTCTGCAGATCATTCTATATTGGCACATGGAAACTTTCTACATCTCTTTGACTTCTGGGGGAAAGAGTGACTTGAAAGGGACAACACTGACCTGGAGATAGTTCCACTGTTGCATGTACTTTAATCAGTTCTCTACTGAGGCATTTTGGTTCTTTCTAGGCTTTTGCTAATACAAGTGATGCTGTTTAACTAACCTTATACAAATGACAGTTTATATTGCATGCCAGTGTGTTAAATGTTGGGTTGAAGGATAAATGCATATGAAATTTTGCTAGATATTGCCAAATTCCCTCCTGGGCTTTTATATCCCACCCACAATGCGTCAAATGTCTGTTTTCCCATAGTTTATAGAGTATATTGTATAATTTTGGATTTTTATGAGAAAGCCTTTAGCATAGGTATAATTTTCAGTATAGGTTTCATTTGTGTTTCTCTTTGTATGACTCAAGTCCAAACATCTTTTAAACATGTGTCATCAGCATTTCCTTTTCTGTGAACTGTTTCCATCTCTTTAGCCCATTTTTACAGAGTTGATAGTCATTTGCCTTGATTTTTAGGTTATTTTCATTAAAGAGATTTGCTCTTTGTGGTATAAGTTTAAATATTTCTTCCCACTTTGTAACTTGTCTTTTTGACTTTGCTCATTGCATTTTCATCACGAAATTTTTGTTAATATAGTGGTATTTAGTATGGTTGTGTGTTTTTTCTGGGACTGAGTCATAGTTATAAAATCCTTGGCTTATAATTTCATAGACTTTAAATTTGTTCTATAGCTGTTTTGCTTTGTATGTTGCTGTTCAGAAGTTTGTTGCTAACCTCTTCTTTCTGACCAGGTTAGTTTTACTGAGACATGACTCAGAGTTGACCATTTTGGATCAATTTTTCCAATACACAAGCAACCTTCTCATATGTAGATCTATGCCCAGTTTGTGTGGCTGGGTTGGTTGAGCATCATCCCATGAACCAGGAGGTCACAGTTCAATTCCTGGTCACGGCATGTGCCTGGGGTTGCTGGCTCAATCCCTGGTGGGGGCTGTGCAGGAGGCAGCCCACCGATGTTTCTCTCTCATCAATGTTTCTATCTCTCTCTCCCTCTTCTTTCCTCTCACTAAAATCAACAAAAATATATTTTTAAAATAGAATCAAAATGGGAATGAAAAAAAAAAAGATTTAAGTCTTCTGTTACTTCCAGAATGCTTTCATGAATTGAAGTTTAAAGATTAGCTCTACTATTGCTTTTCTTCTTAGGAAAGCTAATTTTACATATTGTCTATATCAGTCACTTTCTCTCTCTTTTTACTTTTCTTCATTTAATTTTCATTCTTTTGGCTTTCTTCATCTTTTCTCAATGCCCTTTATATTCAGTCAAATTTATTCTTCTTCAGGTGCCTTGAATGTTAGCTTCATTTAAAAAGACTTAAAAAAATTTATTGTTGACAGTACTACAGATGCCCCCCATTTCCCTCCCTTTTGTCCCCCTCCACCAAGCCCCTGACCCACCCCAGGCCTACCCCACACTATTGTCTGTGTCCATGGGCTATGTATATATGCATATATTTTCTTTGGTTAATCTCTTCCTGTCCCCTCCACCGCCTTTTCCACTGAGATTTGTTATTCTGCTCTGTGAAGCCATGCCTCTGGACCTATTTTATTCGCCAGTTTATTTTGTTCATTAGATTCCACAGGTAAATGAGATCATGTGATATTTGTCTTTCTTTAACTGGCNAGATTCTACATATGAGATCATGTGATATTTGCCTTTCTCTGACTGGCTTATTCCACTTACCATACTAATCTCCAGGTCCCCGCATGCTACCTCAAAGGGTAAAAGAACCTTCTTTTTTTCAGCTGCATAGCATTCCATGGTGTAAATGGATGACATCCTTTTCATCCACTCATCTAATGGGCATGTGGGCTGTTTCCAGATCTTAGCTATTGTAAATTGTGCTGCTATGAACATAGGGGTGCGTAAGTTCTTTCTGATGGGTGCTTCGGGTTTCTTAGGATATATTCCCAGAAGTGGGATCACTGGGTCAAATGGCAGTTCCACTTTTTTCATGTTTTCCACAGTAGCTGTACCAGTCTGCATTCCCACCAGCAGTATACTGGTGTTCCATTTTCTCCACACCCTTGCCACCACTTGTTGATTTATTGATAGTAGCCATTCTGCAGGTGTGCAGTGGTATCTCATTGTCGTTTTAATTTGCATCTCTCTGATATTGATGTTGAGCATTCTTTTTCATGTCTATTGGCTATCTGTATGTATTCTTTGGAGAAGTGTCTATTCAGGTCCTTTGCCCATTTTTTAATTGGATTGTTTTCCTTGATGTTGAAATGTAGGAGTTCTTTGTATATTTGGGAAATTAACCCCTTATCAGATGTATCATTGGCGAATATGTTCTCCCATAGAGTAGATTCCCTTCATTTTGTTAGTGGTTTCTTTTGCCGTGCAGGAGCTTTGTAGTTTGATTGTAGCCCATTTATTTTTTCCTTTGTTTCTCTTGCCCTAGATGTATTGGTGAAAATACTGCTACATGAGATGTCAGATTTTACTGCTTATGTTTTTTTCAAGGATTTTTATGGTTACCAGACTTACATTTAATTCTTTTATCCACTTTGTTTACTCTTGTAAGATGATTTTTCTTCTTCATTTTATTTCCTGAGTTGAGTAAATTCATTTTTCATATCTTCTTTTTGTGCATTTTTTGGGGGTTCTAGATATGTATTTGCGACTTTATCCCTGAAAATGCTTGTTCAAGGATGTTTAATTTGGGTAGGAGTATTTTTCTGTAGTTCTCTTTAGCTCTGCAGTTGAAAGTTTTGGGGGAGACTTCATTAGCTGAAGTATTTTACTCTCTTTTTATGTTTCCTACTTACAGTAACTTTATATGGATATTTTCTACCATTTTCTGTTCATTTTGAGTTTTAATTTTCCTAAACCAGATAACAATAGTACCTAAACAGGAGTGAGGGATTTGGAAGAATTAGTGGACTTTTTAGTTCAATAGCATCTTCTGTTGGTATAATACAGGGTTTTAAATCAATGACTCCTTTTTTGGGGGGTGGGGGGCAGGATGCTCTATCTTCTGTTTCTCCAAGATCCTTAATTTCTACTACCTCTTCCTACTGTTTACCACCAAGCCTCCAGGTAAATGGTGCCCCTTCCAAGTCATCTTCTTTTCCCAGAAGCAGTGCCTTTCTGAGACTGCCTCTTGGGTCCCACGCACTTTCAAGTCCCTTCCTTTTGTTTAACAGGATTTTTAAATGTCGAATACCAAACCTCTTGGTATTTCCCTCCTTAGGGTAAGGTTTTCTTTTTCTCTTTTTAAAAACATGTTTTTATTGATTTCAGAGAGA